AAGCAAACAGCTGGAGAAACAGAAGCTCTGATGTTGTTCTCTAGCTGTGTGTACTTACAGGCTCTCCTGCTGAGCCCTTTTCTCCTGGCCTTCCTGGCAGACCCTACATTTGGAGAAAAAGCCACACATTACATTTTCTATCAGCTGAAGATCACAGGCATGCATCAGCATCCACCAAAACTGTGGTTCACTGCAGAGAGTTACACAAGTCAAGACAAGTGAAGCATAAATGAACTTATTTATGAGTAAATATTTCAGTGTTGGACTTACATTGTGACCTGCTGGGCCTTGAGGACCAGCGACACCTGGTGGACCCCTCAAACCCTTAAACCCAGAAATGCATGTTAAAGACGATACAACAATAGCATGGAGTTAAAAAATGCTTCAGTAAATATTCACCACAGGTCCAGATGGTCCAGTTTGTCCTGGAGGTCCCTGTAAACAAGAGTCATGGTGAAATTTGTGGCTAACGTTAAAGCAACATTGTAAATCTTCAGGATCTAGACGATGAGATGTTACATTTCCAGTAAAGTGTTACATATTTTGGCATTAGAGTTTATCTTTGGCGCTTCCAAGCAGATAAAAGAAATTAAACAAAAATACGATGGGCATTAACAACACTCTGTCGCTAACTTAGATGGGTTACCAGTGATCTGAAGGTCAAAAGGATCACTGTGGCGTGGTGTACGTACCGTTTGTCCTACTTTGCCTTCTCCTGCGGGACCCCTGTCCCCTGGTAACCCAGGTTCTCCTCTTGACCCTGGTTGACCCTGGGACGAAAAGAAAAAGCTCAATTTATTTCACCCTCCAGCTGCCAGTATGTTTAGCTAAGGTTCTGGCGTGCTGCATTCAGCAATGATTGCCGAACCCAGAAATACAACTCAGTTTTTTTCTGAGTGATGGGGAAAAAAAATGAATAAAACAAATACAATCTAAGGCTGACATTTCTGTAGTCAGAAGAGAAAACGTCTCGGTGATGAGGGTGAGCAGTTTGACACCATAAATCCACCAAATGCCCCTTCCCAGCCTCACGCGTGCTGAAACTTTCACATCAAGCTCTTCACAACAAAGAGGCAGTCATAATCAGAGCGACGGTCACAGAGCAGTGGACACGGGAATTGCTTTTGCTGCTTTCTACAAAGATGAATTGTTTTTTTCCTCATTCGGGCAACAACAACTAAAAAAAAAACGTTTTTCCACATCAACAAAAGAGCACCTGTGCATGATAAACCGCAGCAGCTGAGGAGACCTAGAAAACTCTTACAAACTTCTGAAATGACATTACCTTCAGCCCTGGGGGTCCTTGGATTCCCTGTGGCCCCGGGTCTCCCTGTAATACCACAAATAAAATTGGTTATTAACCAAAATACTGCAATTAAACATCTTTGAATAAATCATTTATGGTCCACAAAGAGCTCCTATTCTTCATGCACGTGACTGTATCGAGGCCTCAGGGCCGCACCTGGCAGCTGTAAAAGAAGTAAAAAGAAAAGAAAGGGGAGTGAAAACTGCTGTGAGGCAAATCCGTTGTGCCCCTCTGCTGTTTTAATGTTATATGTCTTAACAATGTCCTTCCTGTTTGCTCTGCCCCGTCAGCAGGACGGCCACATGTTTGGATCACGGTGAAAAATGATGAAGACACATGTTGAGCTCCAGCACAAAATGTGCCAACTCAGGCTTGTTTTCTGCCTCATACAAGTGCTCATATTACGCTGCGGTTCAACAGGCAAGGAGATGTTTACCAGCAGAACACATGTGGAAATACAAAAGACTCTTCTGAGGCACAGTCACACGGGAGAGGTAATCCTAACCTCGATAAACATACATTTCTGTTGTTAAAATGCAGATAGACTTCATAATATCATGTCTAATATTGCTTTTCTGGTGCTGGTTAGTACAACAAAGTCATGCTGTGCTGGTAAATACTGTGCAAATTTACAGGATTAGATCCCAAAAGGTCCCAGCATTTTAAGTCAAAGCAGGAAATGTGTATAAATGTATTGATTGTTTACATTATTAGGATGCCAAGTGTCAAATAATAATCAAATAAAAAGAGAAAATAATATGGTTTGGCAGTGTTCACTTGGATAATTCTCCCAAGCTTTAAAGCAGCTGAAGGTAAGCTGCTTAGGAATAACAAATAGGAAGAATGAATAAAATTTCTATTCAAAATTCCTTAAAACTGCAGTTCTTCTAAAGACCACTTGAGGTTCGCTGCAAAAGTGAGTCAGCCTTCGCAGACTCCAACGTTCAAATACCAACTTCAGCCTTGAAAACAACTTGTTTACAAGCCGGTCATGCACATCTTTAGAGGTGTAGCCAGTAGCAGTCGGCTACACCTCCTGTCTGTGTTTGTGTCTTCTGACCATTTTATTTGAATTATTGGAAAAATATTATGGATGCTATGTAATAAAACCCTTACACAGAGCCTGTGCTCTGATTTTAGGTGTTTTTGTTTTTGTTGTCCTCTTTCTAACTTGCGTTAGCTGGCTCCATGGTGTAGCCTTTGACAGTATAAGAGATGGATACAGCTGCCATGGCGATGGAGATGAAAAAATCTTAATGTGATACAGAAGGGCTGAAATCCAGAAAAGTTGATCTCTTCTAATCATAATTGTGGCACTGTCCTATAATATGATATTGTATTAAATGACTTTAAATATCATTATAATTGTAGGATGAACTATGGTAAACATTCAGTAAATAACATAGCTGTGCCTTACATTTTGTCCATCTTTCCCCTTCCCTGGTAGTCCAGGAGGTCCAGTCAAACCAGGCTCTCCAAGTGGTCCTGCGAGACCTTGTTGTCCTGGTTTTCCAGTTTCCCCCTAAAATAAATAATGGAATAAAAAGATTCTGCTTTTGTCTCTCAAGTCAGCAAAGCTTTTTGTTGCTCTGGATTCTGAAAGAAATTTAGGCAAATTAAAATTCAATTCTATGTATGATCATTTATTATTTTAAATCTCAGTCTTATAATTATTCTACACCTTGTCCTGCATATTAAAACTGCAGAGAGAGTACAAAGAGCTCTGAATTGCTACTCCTACATGTAGCTGCTGCAGCAGGATTCAAATGAATTCACAAACTGAAACAATGATGGAGGACATACAAGGTCACTCTTTTTCTCAGCAGTCTGTTTCTCTGCACTGCCAATACCAGTCTCAGCAAAGTCCTGATCCTGTCAAATCACACCCACCAAACACACTCATGGATTTTAAACACAAGTGACTGACCTTGTCTCCTCTTTGTCCAGCTGGACCTGGAGGCCCAATAATTCCCGGTATGCCCTAAAACATAAAGATAATTCTTAGCTTAATTTAATAATGTGTAGTATAAAGTCACAGGAAGCACATGCAACAGACATAAATGATCAGAAAGAAAAGACTAACCACACTTCCTGGTAGTCCACGGGCACCCTGAAGGCCAGCTACGCCAGGTGGACCCTGGAAGAAACACAGAGGTCATCGTCATCCTCTATCGTATAGAAAACGTAGCGCTTGGTGTTAAAAAGTGAATCCTGTTAGATGGAACTACTTACTGGGTCTCCAACACGCCCGGTCTCTCCAGTGAGTCCAGTCTCACCATTTGGCCCCTGGAAGCAAAGCAGCTAATCAGAGATATTCCAGCCGGAATGACTGTAGCTTAAAACGAGTGAGGAGATAACAAGCTTTGTACCGGTAGTCCAGGTGGTCCCTTAAAACCTTGCTCACCAGGTAGTCCTCTTGGACCCTACAGAGAAGATGCATTAATTTAGAAATATATTTAAACATTTCTCTTAAAGCGTTAAAAGGGCTCCTCTAAAAACGAATGAAGAATAGTGATGATCCTCTACGACAAAAAGACTTACTGTCATATGCTGCCTTAAGAATATGAGTCTCTTAATTCCAGCACATAATTCATGTTGCCTATTTAATGCTAAATATACCAATGCACTCTGTTCTGCTGCACCTAATATACAATATATCAGCAAAGCAGAGAGGACAGAGATTCAGGGCACTGCATGACTGTGTCAAATATTTAATTTACTTAGCCAATTAAGGGAAGTCTCGGGAGCTCTCTCACTGTAACAGGACATCCTCGCTGCAGCAACGTCAAATCTCTACTGCCACCTAGTGGGATCCTGAGCGTATTGCTGGTTGAAGCTTGGTTATGTAAAAAGAGGAAGTGAAAACTAAACTCACCATCTCTCCTGGTTTCCCTTGTTCCCCTTTCTCTCCTTTCTCTCCAGGTCTCCCCTTAAGGTAAAAAAATGCAGAAGATGAAAAGAGTAAGAACAGTGTTTATACTGATCAGGCATTATGACCACCTGCCTAATGTTGTGTCTTTCCCCCCTTTTTTCTGCCAAAACAGACCTCGCTGAGGCATGGACTCTACTAGACCCCTGAACATGTGCTGACGGTGTGATGAGGTATTTGTTACCGAGATGTCACCAACAAATACTTTAAGTCGTGTAAGTTGTGAGGTAGCGTCTCCATGAATCAGCCTTATTTATCCAGGACATCCAACAGATGCTCGACTGAACTGAGTTCTGGGGGATTTGAAGGTCAAGTCGATGCTTCAAAGTCATTGTTGTGCTCCTCGAACCATTCCTAAACCAGTTTTGCTTTGTGGCAACAAACTGGACATTCCTGTCAGTGGTTCACCACTGTTCCTTCCTTGAACCACGTTTGATAGACACTGATCACTGCAGACCAGGAACACCACACAAGAGCTGCAGTTATGGAGACGCTCTGACACGGTCGTCATAATCTGGCCCTCGTCACACTCGCTCAAATCCTTACACTTGCCCATTTTTCCTTTTTCTAAAATGTTCACTTGGTTCCTAATGTATCCCACCCACTAACAGCTGCCACGATGAAGAGATAATCAGTGTTATCTGCCTCGCCTGTCAGGTGTCAAATGTTCTGTCTGATCAGTGGTATATAATATGTAAACATATTTATTTATTTTAAATCAAGCAAATTAAAAGAAAGAAACAAAAAAACAGCCATTCTTCACGGATTTGATTCTGGAGTTTGTGAAATAGAAGAAGCGTACTCACAGGTTCACCAGGCTCAGGAATGACGTTTGCAACCTGTGAAGAAGAAAGCAGGTGACATCGCACCACATCTGCACTCTATTACAGTTAACACGCACACAAACAGCAGAAATATTACTCACATTTCCCGGAATGCCCGGCGGTCCCATAGCTCCCACTTCACCCTGAGGCAGGAGACAATATGTTCAGAGTCTGGATGCTAATTACCTTATTACAGATAATACTGCAGGGTGACCATTAGTGAGACAAATGCAGCAGCGTTCCTCCTATTCCTTCACTTTATTAGGTGTCCAAAATATAAAAGTGGCTCCGGATTTTTGTTTTTTACCTTGTCGCCTTTTTCACCTTTTGGCCCAACTGGTCCTGTCTGTCCTCTCTCTCCCTATGGAAAACAAAATATTCATTTTTTTAAACAGATCTCAGATATTCATGTGCATATTAATACAGGGAAGCAAGAACTTTATAATTGGAAAGTCAGTCGGTCTCAAAATGGCATCTGGGAACAACCAACGGGCCCCAAGGGTTCCCAGGAGGTCACCCAGTCCAATTAGGTACATTCATTTTACTGGAGCTGACTTTAATAGAAATGATTACATAATGTACAAAAGTGAAGTAAGGACAGTGCCCCTTGTTTGCAGAAGTGAATCAGAGATATAGCTGTGAATGACTGTGAAAGCTTTGAGAAGCTTACCGGCACGCCTCGGTCACCTCGTGCTCCAGCAGTACCTAGCTGTCCAGGGGCACCAGCTTCCCCCTGGAAAAAAATTTATCATTTCAAAAAATATGCCAAAATAAAATGTATCCCATAAAATCCAAATGCCAAATAAACAAAAACGAAGGCAACTGTGAGCTCACTCTCTCCCCTGGAGGTCCTCTTGGTCCAGGAGGCCCTTCGTCGCCCTGCAGAGAAAACGCACTAGTTAACATGGCGGTTTTCTGAATAAATAACAAGCACAAGTTCAGTGTATTTCTGGGTGAGGTTAATCACGTTACCTTGGGTCCAGGCTTGCCAGGAAAACCATCTGCTCCACGCTCGCCCCTGAGCCCCTTTAGAGACACAAGATTATAATTTAGATGTCATACTTTCAAAACTCGTCCCAGCCAAAAGCATTTTCCAGGCATATGACCAGCCCCGTGGCACCAATTAGCCCACTGTTTACCAACCAAAACATATTTTTTTTAAAGTTTGCTTGTGGTTTCTGTGCAACTTTTCTTTTATGAAGAAGCAGAGTTTGGATTTGGAGCAGCCTGGAGCTCGCCTCCAAAGTTGCCCAACAGCCACAACACACACAACTCTGCACAGAGTCTCACTCGATGTGAAGAATCTCCCAATCAAATGTACCAAAGCCCTGAGATTTGCAACAACGGTAAAAAGAGAAGAATAGACTTGTTTTCTGAGATTTTGTGATTTTGGATTTGTTTTGCTTTGTCATTTTATCTTTTCTCATCCATGCGGACACTGCAAAGACATAAGATTTAACTAAATTTATGAATATGGCTTCTTTAATTGATAAGTGTCCCAACACACATAGCTGTAGCTTGTAGCTATCTGCCTGGCCTCATCTTTGCTAATTCAGTTCCACTGTGTTTCTGCTGTCAGAGAGTTTGCAATGTAATGTAATTATCTGGCAAATGACATGATACAGCCCATCCAAGACGTTTGTGCTTCAGATGTGGTGAGGGAAATTACAGTATTTTATTAGCCTGTAGCTTAGCGCTAATTAGCAGAATGTGCTAAATAATACCCCCATATATTTATGGATGGAGTGTGGTTGGTTAGCATCGTTCAACTGCTTGTTAATGCAAATATCAAACCAGCCAATAACCTGGAAGCACCTCACTGCATTAAGCCATGTAGTCAAGACAACCTGCTGAAGTTTAAACTGAGCATCAGAATGTGGAAGAAAGGTGATTCAAGCAACTGTTAACGTGGCCTGGTTATTGGTGTCAGATGGACTGGTCGGAGTATTTCAGACACTGCTGATCTACTGGGATTTTCCCACACAGCCATCTTTATGGTTTACAAAGAATGACCTAAAAAAAGAAAAATATCCTGTGAACAACAGTTGTCTTGTCTAAAATATCTTCTTGTTGTCAGAGCAGAATCGCCAGATTGCTTTGAGTTAATGGAATAGAATGGAAATATCCTTTATGGTCCTTCACTGGGAAAATTCAAGTGTTCCAGGAGCAAAGTGATAGCTAGGTGGAGCATACAGATTCACACAAACGTAAAGGATATAACATAAAAAACAATAAATAAGAGTGTATGGGGCAAATTTAGAGTGCTGTACAGTTATTAAAAATAACACATTCAGATTCAAAGACATGTTGAGTAGGATAATTTACAAAAAGATGTACAAAAAGTGCTGTAAATGTAATTCAAATAACCAATTATTACAACTAAGGTATCAGAGAAGAGATTCTCTGAACACACAACATGTCAAACCTTTGGTGCAGATGGATTAAAGCAGCAGGAGACCAGTCCTGTCAGCTAAGAACAGGAAACTACAGTTCACACAGGCTCACCAAACTAGATCACAGAGGATTGTGAAAACGTTACCTGATCTAATGAGTCTGAATTTCTGCCCTGACATTCGGATGGTAGGGTCAGAATTTGGTATAAAAACATGGAGGTGTAAATCTACCTTCTATCCACTGCCTTCTTCAAAATATGCCACAAGGAATTAAAGCTATTCTGACATCAAAAGATGGTGCACATGGTACTTGCTGTGTCACTTTTAAGTCAAAAAGGCCAGTATGACTGTTACCACTAGTGATGTGCGATACCACTGATTTTCTTTCCGATC